GGCGGGCGCGGGGGCCGCGCTGGGGGCCGCGCTCGCCCTGGAGGCGCTGGCGGTCCTGCTGCTGCGCCCGCCCGCGGGCGGCGGCCGTGACGGGCCCGGGACGCTGCCGGTCTGGCCGCTGGCCGCGCTGCTGTACCTGCTCGGGAACGCGCTCGAGAACGCGCGGCGCTTCGTCACGGCGTCGCCCAGCACGCGCGAAGTCATGCTGGCGGGGGCGGGGCGAGGATGGGAGTAAGTGGGCGGGGCGCGGGCCGGGAGCCAATCGAAGAGGGCTGTGGGCGGGGCGACGGGCCTCAAGGAAGCGGCGGGAAGAAAGGGGCGGGGCGTCTGCGCTGCCTTGCGACTCTGATGACGCAATTCGAAAGACAGTCGCTGCAGGAAGCCGAAGTTTAGGCTCAGAGGCACCCTGTTCTTCGTCCGATTTAGTTTTTTCCAGAGGGCGTGCGACTTGATTAGCCTGGCCCAGCAATAAAGCATGCGGTTTTTCGATATGACGTTGCTTCATGGGGGAAAGGCACTCTGCACCTGCCCAGAGATACCTTGCATGTTAACAGCATGTTGATGCTGTTGATTCCCTGCATGCAGTTGCCCACACTCACCCAGAGTTTCTGAAAATCGGGGAACCTGGAGCAACTGGGATGCATGCAGCCCACCTGCTCATCCTGCCACGTTAGGGGCTTTAGGGTGTCACACTGATTTTTCTGGAATGGTGGTTAAGAGGGGCATCAATTTATCAAGAAAATGAAGCGCGGGGGGAACTGTGTGTGCCCAGAAGTGCAATTCCACTTGCTAAATTCCACTGTAGCAAATGCAATGTCAGTGGCAAATTTGGCAGGGTAGGGTGTGCCTTCTGGTGGGTGTGTGAGGAGAAACCCCCCAGATCCTCAAAAGGAGCTTGCCCTTCGTTTGCACGCTGACAGGCTGCCTTTCTCTAGGATTTCGGGCCATTTTTATTTTCCTTCTGCATGAGGCAAGGGGAAGCAATGGATCGTGTGCATGCAAAACACGGTGAGCTACAGCTGCTTCTGTGCGACTGTAGTGTGAGGAAATCGGTTATACGGCTGCGGCCTGGCAGCACCCAGCTCCTCTTCTCTCTCGCAGTTACTGCTACTCCTGCCAGTCCCATGTGCCACCTCGCTGCAGCCACTGCTTCTGCTGCAACGTCTGCGTCCTGCGCCGCGACCACCACTGCACCCTGCTGGGCCAGTGCGTGGGCCACCAGAACTACCGGTACTTCCTCTGCTTCCTGCTGCACTGCTCTGCCTCTTTGCTCTGCGGCTGCCTGCTCAATGCCGACGTGGTCGTGTCGCTGCCGCAAGAGGACGTCCCTGCACAGACGATCCTGCTGCTGCTCTTGCCCTGGTTTATGTTACTGATGGGTAAGGCCAAAGGAGAGATGTCTGTTTTCTTTCCTTTTTTTCCGATTTATCTCCTGCCTTTTTCCTACAAAGGGCTCAAGGCAGCTTACATCGTTCCCCTCCTCCATTTTATTCCCACAGCAACAACCCTGTGAGGTAGGCTGGGCTGAGCCTCTGTGACTGGCCCAGAGTCACCCAGTGGGCTCCATGGCCGAGCGGGGACTCGAACCCGGATCGCCCGAGTCCCAGTCCCATGTTCTTCACCACGACACCACACTGGCTCTCTTTGAGGTTGTACAGACCCAGCTCAGGAATAGCCTCATGGCTGAAAGCCTTATCGGATCTTAGAAGAGCAGCCCCGATTTTGAGGATTTCTCTAGGGCTTAATTATGCACAGGGGCTTAAGCTTCACTCTGAGCCCGTTTTCAGCATCGGCACTCAAGCATACTGATAACTTCATCCAAAAAGAAAGGCATAGGATGAGAGAGTTGATTTTTAATACCTTCTCAGAGTGAAGCTCAAACAAACAAGGAAAGGTTTAAAGATGGAACTGTTATAGGGGAAAGCATTACCAAGTAATCTGAGAAAGAGCGTTTGTGTATTAGGGTCCAGTTTTGTAGACGGTGTTAAGTCTTGTCATGAGACCTCAGTGGTGAGGACAAAGACCTGGATCTCTCCCTTTTACTGTTTTCCGGATCAGGCAACTTGCGGACTCTTTAAACATCTCTTCTAGGGCAGGTGAACATCACAGCCTTCGTCTTCGCATTTGTGACCGATGTCTGCATCGTGGGCTTCCTCTTCTCCACGGGCTTCCTCATCTTTCACAGCCTGCTGGCGTTACGCGGACAGACGACCAAAGAGTGGTTTGAGGAAGATCGCCGGTACGACTTGGGCTGGAGGGGCAATCTCCGAGAAGTCCTGGGGGAGCGGTGGCACCTTGTATGGCTGGCGCCTTTCGTCGCTTCCCCCTTGCCAGGGGACGGAATCGCCTTCCAAACGAGGGTGCCGCAGATTTGATCCACTTCTCAACACCTTGACCCCTGAAGGTGGGTTTCCTGGTGCAGGTGGGGACTCCTTTCTGAAAACGGCCTTGCGGCGGAGGGGTCAGCCAAGGCCAGGCAGCCAGGCAGTATTGCCGGCACCTTGGTGTGGTGTGTGGGGGAGGGGAGTGCCGAGTCAGGCCTCCCCGTCAACAGTGAAACAGCCGCTCGGATCATTCGCAACGATGGTGTTCGCATCAGGAGGCCCTCCTGCGTGGCAGAAACGCTCCATTTGGACCCCGGACTCTCCAGATCCGTTCATGGGTCCTCTCTCCCTCCAGATTTTTGTCCTGCGCCATTCGAGGGACACCGAGTCCTGGCGTGGGAGCACTGGCTGCCTCCGCTCAGGAGCAGGCGCATGGGAAGATGAGTCCTCTGCCCTTTTCTCCTCCATCTTCAGAAGTTCTTTCCGCTTTTTGGGCACTGGTCGTGGAAGCAGTCTTCCTGCAGGGGACACGCCGTCTTTCGCTTGCATGATCTGGAAGGAAGGCAGTGGGTATAGGGTTTGATCAGCTGCACAGGCCAAGCCTGCCTGGGGGCTGTTGCTGGGACCAGGTTTCTCGGTGCTTGCCGTACTGCTCTGGCTCCTCCCCCCACTGTGGAAGGTCACAAACCAGTCCTCAGGCCAGGTGGGACCCGAGGATGGACAGACACACAAGGCCGGGAAGTGCCGTGGGGATCCCGGGCCAAGTCCGAAGCCAGCAGAGCGGCGGCGTCTGTGCCTTGCGTTTCCTTCCCCCCCGTGGCTGGTCTCCCCCGAGCAAAGAGCGCACGCATTCTGCCAAAGCAACCAGCACAGCCTGGTGCGGGATGAGCTTCTGGGACCGTGGCATAACGTGCTGGCGATGTGTACCAGGCTGTTGCCTTACAACACCCAGGATCTTTCTCCGTGTGGCTTCCAGATGCTTCAGCCATACTGCCCGTTGAACTCTTCCAAGATATTCTCTGGCCTCCCACTTCCGAATCTGCGCCACCTGAAGGAAAGGCCTGCACCGTGTAGCCCACAAGGTCGGCTCCTGGACAGGCGAAACGGGAATTCTGGTCTCGGGTGTCGCTTTCTCGGATGTGTTTCCAGCAGGTACGAAGCTGCGTTGTGCCAGCCCGGGCCTTTGGTGCATAAAGCCCTGGATTGCAGCTCTCGTGAGTCCGGTTCCGTGGGACTGTCCCAATAAAGGTGCCAGCGATGGAAAGTGAGGCCTTACGCATGCAGGACAGGAACTCTGCCACTGACCCGCTTGATCCCTCCCTGTTCCCTCAAAGGTGGTGCATCAGGGCATCTTTTGCAGGAGAATGTTTGGAGGCGCAAGTTTCCTGCGGAGTTTTGCTAAGCGGCAATAGGCAGGGACAGCACTCGCTCAGCTTCCTGGAACCACAATCATTTCAGGCCGCAAACACTGAAATTTCAAACTGTTCCCCTGAAAATCCTTTTGGCGATTCCTCAAGTCTCTTAGATGCTGCCAGCCCCCTATTCCTTGGGGTTGGCTTTGATCTCGCAGTAAGCCAACTGCCGGGGCGAATAAAACCCAGACGAGGCGGGTTGCAAGAAACCCAGCAACAGTGTGAGGTTCTTGATACCTTTCCTGGAGGCCCCGAGTAACATTTGTTTTGAAGAAATCGACGTCACAAATTTGACGGGGGTAGCTTGGGGCAAGCGGGTGTTTTCTGTTTCAGCCTTTCTCTTGACCTCCTTTTTGTGGTAAAACATGTCTTTTGCACATTAAAATGCTATGTGAAATCATTAGTCATGTTGTGACTTTTGTAAGATACGTGTGTGTACACACTGATAAGCATATGAGAGAGAGAGAGAGAGGGAGGGAGAGACATAGATGGTTCGGTGTAAAAATAAATACAAGAATTGCTTGCTTGGACTTGTAGCTTCATAACAGTCACTCTCTGGAATTCCCTATGGCTACGTACCCGGCAGGTGCCCTTCCTCTTGCATTTTCAGTACCTTCCAAAAATAAACCTTTGCCAACTGGCATGCCCAGGAAAGTATTCTTGTCCTCTGAACAGATCTTAGAAATATCTTTATGCGAATGAGTCAAAAATGAGAGGCAGTGTAGCAGTTGCAGTGTTGGAGAGACCTGGGAGATCCGGTTCCAGTCTCCATTTGGCCATGAAGCTCGCCGGTTGACTGGGCCAGTCACAGAGGCCCAGCCAGCCTACCTTGCAGGGTTGTTGGTTGCTGTTGTGAGGATGAAATGGAACCGGTGACGCTACCTTGGGTTCCTCCCAAGAGGGAAAAGGGGGCCCATAAATGCAATGGAATAATGTTAATAATCTTACAAGTCAGACCACGGATTTCCTGAATGGAGGAGAGTTTGGAAGGAGACGGGGAACCTCGCAGGTGTTCTCAGATAGTTCTGTTGACCTGCGAGGTTCCCTGTCTCCTGATTTTTAAAAACATATTCTAAAAATGTTTTAAACATGTTTAAAAACATGGTTTCTAAAAAAAAAAAAAAAATAGGGTATTGTGCTGGAAAGTGAAGGGCGATTCTCTGGTACTTCATTCGGGTTCAACATGTGCCGTCCTGCTTCAGCTCCTGGACAAGCTAATTTTTTTTAGTTTCGCCAGTCTGACTTCTGGGAAAATGCCTGTTTTGTGACTGAAGTTACTCAGCAAGGCAAGCCCGTTCCTACAGAATTTTAAATGCACCACCAGCCCATGATGTCCGGGACTTTCTAGGGCCGCTGCCACTTTTGCTGAGAAGGTTTTGCCGTGCATTTTGTCCGGAGAGAATCGAATTCTGTTTGAGATTCTGTTTAAGAACCTTCTTGCAAAGAGCATCATGGAAGAGGCAGCTTTTCCGGCTCGCTTCAGGCCTAGAAACCCCCAAATGTCGTCTCTGCCCGTTCACATCGCTTGGGGTGGCTGAGGCGAAGCACCGCCGAAAACTGGTCCTGGGATCGAGGCCAAGCTCCAGCCGGCTGCTATGGCGACCGCCCGGCTGGGGAAGCCATGTTTTGTTCCGCAAGCCCCCACTGAGGCCTGTTCTGGAAGCGGGCTTGTTGCCCTGGTGACGGGAGAGCAGCCGGTGCCATTCCATGTTGTCGTGGGCGCCATGTTGAACCCACATCGCCAGTCGGTGCTGACCAATGCGTTTATCAAGACCTCCGCAGACCCCAGGACCCGGACGCCCGGCACCATCTATGAGCCGAAGGGGCAAGTCCGGCTTTTGGGGCTGCTCTCCGAGAGTTCCCCTTCACAGCAGGTAGCCTGGAGCAGCGGGCGCCGGAGGAGGACGAGCCCTCCGTAGCCACATGCTCCCCACCCGAGGCGCTTGATGTCGCTGCACCATACGGGCGCCGAGGAAAGTGACCATGTGGGAAAGCTCGACAGGGCAGGCGTTACGGGACATGGTCGCACGGCGACCGTCATTCCCTCGGGATTCCTCAAGCTCGGCTTCTCTGTCTTTTTTGACCAGAAGATCCGGTATTCCTGCATCGAGACCTTAAGCAGTTACACTTGCAAGCTCATGTACTTGGGAGACTGCAAACCAGCCCATGAATAATGATAAAATTTGGGAGACAAGGACTGCTTATAAACGTATTTAGGCAGTGTAGCAGGCATGCGATCTAGACTGCAAGAAAAATTTAGGGTCCCAGCTTTTCTATTTTTGCTGGGCCCTTCAGACCTGCGATCAAATGGTGACCCAGTAAACTTGCCTATATTAGTACAGGCAAAACACCCTTTCGCACATTTCTTTTATGTTGCATAAGTTGTATTTTAATTTTCCTATTAGATATTGAACTCCTGCCTAGATTGTATGACTGGAGATGTCCCATTACCATATGCTAAGAGAGAGAATTTGTGGGAGCCAGCCTGTGCTGCTTTAGCAGTCTTGATTTATTATTGTGAATGTCCTTTTTGCTGCCTCTATTTTTTAACTTTTGAATTTAGAAAAGAATATTTCATGATTAAGGTTGCCATTCCATGCAGCTTTAGGCAGAAAAAGTCCTATTGCTCCCACCTGGCTGAGGAAATGCTGGGAGTTGCAGGCCTTAATTGCACCCCAAAAAAGGAGGAGGACAATTGTTTTTGGCTCTTCCAAAGTATAGAATGCTAACCCTTTTAGGGCACATTCCTGTGCTTATTTAGGGGCAGATAATTCCCAGCATGCCCCAGCTACCCCCTCCCCTTGTTTGGAGGCCATGCATAAGTTGTATATTTCCTATGTGTCCATGGATACGGTATATACCCATGTATTTATATAGGTTTTTATGAAAAGGGGAAAGGGTGTGCAGTTATATCCTTTAAAGTGACTCGCAAACTTGTATTAATGACTTGTTTTTAACCTGCTGGGAAACGGTGAGCATCTTTTGAGGTTCAGGAGAAGAGCAGGATGCGTGTGCCTTCCCTTTGGGGAGCACGGTTGCAGAGTCACCTCGAGGGTGTGTGTCTTTGGGGTTTGTCACAAGTGCCCCTGCCCAACTGCAGCCTTTTTCTGCACACGATTCAGGAGGACTATTTGGATGCCGGCGATGGGATGCTGATCTGCATGAAACGGAGAAAGAAGAGAGGTCCCAACCCGCCCAGGAAGGCCTGCCGGGGGCCTGAGAAAACAGTCCCCGCCGCCAGCAATGCCTCGGACATACAGCACGATCCAGAGCTAACCAGGCAAGTGGTCCGGGTGGCCTCGGGGCGGGACCGAGCTCAGCCCTGCGCTCCCAGTGCAGGCGGGGGGTGCGTGTCCTTCCAGGTACCTTGGCCTATAACTCCCATCACGTTGGCCAAGGCTGGCAAGACACGCAGGCCAGAAACATCTGGCGTGCGTCTCGCTGGTTTCGACCCTTCAAGAAGGGGTGTTCCTGGAAACTTTTCTGCTGTGCTAAAGAGGGTTTAAGAAGCTTTAGCTACAGCAGCAAGACAAGCGGAAGTGACCGTCCCGAGTGGGTGGGAAACGGCTGTGCTGAGACGCTGGACGCGATGCCGGGGCCGCCAACACGAAGCTGGCCGAAGCAGCCCTGCAGGCGCTCGGTTGTGGGGTGGAGTAGTGATCCGTCCCGCTTCCTAGTTTTCTGCTCAGCCCATGTGGGAAAACAAGCAGAAGGAGAAATTGAGTTGCCTTTTGGGGGATGAGGGGGGAACAGTTCTTTCTCCCTGCCCTGCCAAAAAAACAAACGCAATTGTAACTCTCATGCAGCCTTTGTTGTTTAGGTGCAAAGTCGTGCCCAAGGCATCATGACCCCATGGACAGCCTTCCTCCAGGCTCTCCTGTCCTCCACCAGCCCCCGGAGTCCACCCAAGCCCACTCCCACTGCCCCAGGGACCCCATCCAGCCCCCTCATCCTCTGCCGCCCCCTCATCCTCTGCCGCCCCCTCCTTCTTTTGCCATCTATTGTTCCCAGCATCAGGCTCTTCTCCAGGGAGTCCTTCCTCCTCATTTGGTGGCCAAAGTATTGGAGTTTCATCTTCAGTACCTGGCCCACGCAGCCTTGGGGGGAAAAGGACTAGCGGTCCCCAGAAGCTGCCAGTCGGGGCTGGAATAGCGGCAGAGCTGAGAAAGTGCTTCAGAGCAGCAGGAGATGCGATCTAGGTCTGACCTGAGCCCGGTTTTTCCCTAGGGAGGCTTGCTCCCTCACGCCACACAGCAGCCATGCGCCCCCGAGCCCTCCACCGTCACCTGAGACCACCAGGCCCTCCCGCCCAGGCTCCTTCCCGTTTCACTGGATGTGGGAACATGTCTCCGTCAAAGGCCAGGCCATGTACCAAGGGGCACCCCCCGAGAAGGCCAAGAAGAAGAAGTCCCCCCTGGCCTCCTCCAGCTCCGTCCGTGAGCCCCCCTGCGCGCCCCAGTCCAGCCCCGGAGCCACCGCTGCGAAAGAGACACGGTGCTTGGAAGGAGCCCGGCCCTCAGCCGGCGGCAGCCGCCCCTGTTGCTCGAGCCTAGCTCCCAGGGGCTCTCTCCTGTCGCTCTGCTGGACCATGGAGGCCCGGTCCGAGGCCCGGAAGCGCCAGCTGCGCCAGGAGCGCAAGCGCTGGCTGCACCTCACGCAGCAGCTCCTCAGCCTGGAGCAGCGCTGCCCCAAGCAGGAGAAGTGCCTCCCTGGCAAGCAGCTGGAGGAGAGGCTCCGCGCGGAGATGCTGTGCCTGGCCGCCGCGCCCGAGGAGCCCTGTCCCCAGGCGGAGAGGAGGGGAGCCAAGGCCGGGGCCCGGCCCGGGCAGGAGGGGCTGACGTTCCAGCCTGCCATCAACCGGAGGATCCCCGACTTCAAGAACCTACAGAGGCGCTTCCAAGAGCAGCTGGAGCGCAAGAAAGACCAAGGTGGGGAGCTGCCCTACAGGAGAGAGGCCGGGGGTGGCGCATCATCCGTCGAAGCCCCGGCCTCTTTTCCCACCCAAGGATAAATGGGAAGAGAACCGTAGAAGCCCCCTTGGTTCTCCATGATGGCTGTTCTGTTGTGTTTAGTTCTTTTAATGCCGGTGGACCTTTTGAATGTTGACCTGGAAAAGTAGGGAGGGGCTTTCTCCTTTACTCCCGAGAAGTCTCCCACCAGCAAGGGCTTTTTGCCTGGCCCCAGCCTCAGCCTGAGCTTCCAGGGGCAGGGGACTGCCTGGTGTCTTGGCATCCCCCCCAGAAGCAGGGGGAAGATGGGACGCTTTCTTTTCCAAGGGCTCGGGTTTCTCGGGCAGCCTCCCAAAATAGCCTGTCCCCTGAAAACATAGCCTCGGACAGAGTTTCCCCCAGGGCAGGGGGCTGATGGGGGCAGCAGAGAGAGTGTGCAGCGGCCTGCCGACGTCGCTCGCATCTCTCTCCCCTCTGCCCTCCAGCAAAGGTGACCGTCTGCAAGCCTTTCCGCCTTCACTCGGCCAGCGGCTCCCAGCCGCTCTCTGGAGAGGAGGACAAGGGGTGCCAGGAGGACCCCTTTTGCGAGGTCTGGAGGGTTCGCTGGCGGGCTCGGTCGTGCCCAGACTTTGGCCTTCCAACTGTTCCTCCCGTGATGCCCACCAAAGCCTCCGACAAGCGGCAGGAAGCCAACAGGTACACGCGAGCTTCTCCAGGGCCGGAATCCAGAAAAACATGACCAAAAATTGTTGCTTTCTTGCTTCCACATCCTGGTAAGAAAAGACCCATGGTGTTGAGGGTGGGGCGTGGGATGCAAATAAAACCTGGTCCATTTGTGGGGGTGGGAGCGCAAAAACAGACCTAGGAAAGAATTAAAATGTAACTAAATAGCAAGCAAGCTGTTGAGTTTACCATGGTTCTTCTCTGGGCTGAATATTAAGCCTTTTTTTTACAAAATGAATTTTTGAAGGGGGGAAATGCTTGTTGCCGGGTTTGATGAAATATAATGCAGAAACAAAACAAGCTCAGGTTACGTGCCTTTGTACCCTAGACTAACCCAGCCTTCTAGCGGAAGCTGTTAATTGACTGTTAATTCTACTTTCATTTTCATAATAGAATTGAGATATAAACGCTATGCAATTTCCTTTCCTGCCTTTACCCTACGTAGCCTCTAGGTGGCACTGTGGTATAGCAGAACGGTGCAAATACACAAATACACGCACTTTTGCTTTTGCAATTACATTTTCACCATTCTAAAAGACAACACATCAAAAGTGTTCTTTAGGTCCAGAAGCAAAACTGGACGGTAATGTCATCTATCGAACCCATAAACAACGCTGAATAGGGAACAATGAGTGCAAAATAATGTAGAAATAACGTGGTGCTAAATCTGGAAGCGCCTTTCTTGCCAGGGTAACATCTGTCGAGCTGGGAGAGGCGACGGCTGCGCAGCGTCTTTGGGCCGGTCGTCCCGTCCCTCGCGCATCTGCCACGCTCAAGGCTCCTGCGCGGCTCTTTCCTGCCAGGTTGCTCCTGCTGGAGTGGGAGCGGCGGGAGCGGCAGGAGAAGCGGCGAGCCGAGCTGCGCCGGGACAAGGAGCAGCGAGTGCAGCGCCAAGTGGCCAAGTGCCTGGCCGCTTACCGGACGCCGGGCCAGCCCAGCGCAGCGTTCCAGAGAAGGCGGGAGGAGCTCAGGTAGCGCACCAGGGCCGCTCTTCCCCCTCCCCAAAGAGTGCCTCTGCATTGCAGTCTGTTGTTTAATGCCTTATGCTCAAGTCCCATTGGAATAATTAATAATAATAATAATAATAATAATAATAATAATAATAATAATTGCTGCTCCAGCCCTTTACAGTGTCTCAGGGTGGTGGTAACATAAATAAATAAGACACCGCATCACAGTGATCTATAAAATTAATTTTAAAAACAACATTAGCTTTTGAAATACTGAGAAGATTAAAAGGTTTTTGCCCGGTGCTGAAATGAAAAAAGCATCCCTCTCCAGGCCCAGGTCATCTACAGGGCGACTGAGGCAGTTGCTGTTCCACAGGGAGGTCTGAATCCAGACTGAAACGGGCCCAGATGATCGGATTATGCAGCTCGAGGCTGCAAAATTCTGGCGTAATTTAATTTAGCTGTGCAGGGAAGCAGGGGAGGGAAGAATGCAGGGAAGGCAGCCAAGAGATGTGTGATGCTCCGAAGACCATTGTTCTTACTCCAGGATCAGCTCCCGTAGGGATATAGTCCTCGTTATAATTTAAGGCAGAAACCTTTCAGATCCCTAACTGCTGGGTGCCCCAGGTGTGGCCACAGGGCTGCACCGCCAGGAGCTGGAGATGGCACATGGTGGGAGCACTGGGAAAAGAACCGCCGCATCCCACACCCATCATCCTGTGGGCAGGAGAAGGGTGATTCTACCTCCCATCTCCCCCAAAGCAGTATAGTTTGCTCCGTTGCAAGACAGCTTCTTCTGGAGTGCAAGACTTGGCTGGAAGGGAAGGGAAGGGGAGAATTTACCAGCATCTCGCTTCTGTTTGCTGTGCAGGAGGCTGGAGAGGCAGCGGATGGAGGAATACTCACTGCAGCTTCAGAAGATGCACAACCGTGTGGAAAACAGGCCTTACCTCTTCGAAAGAGTCATGCAGGTAAAACGGCCGGATGGGAACAGGGAGTGAAGCTCTCCAGGCCACGCCCTGGTTAGTCAGACCAAAACCCGCAGCGTTCTCCGACCAGCAGCAGTGGGCCTCGGGTGCAAAGCCAGACCAAAGCCGCCGCAGGTGCTCGAAGGGGAATGCAACTTGCTTGGAAGGAGTTTGTTTGTGTATTTTCATTTATTTACTTTTTGTATTTGCGTGCTGTCCCATAGTCCAGGAGGGACTGCAGGTGGCGCAGTGGTTTAAACCGCTGTGCTGCTGGGCTGGTTGATCGAAAGGTCGCCAGTTCAAATCTGCACAACGGGGGGAGTTCCTGTGACTCCGTCCCAGCTCCTTCCAACCTTGCAGTTCGAAAGCATGCAAATACAAGTAGATAAAAAGGTACCATTTCGGTGGGCAGGTCACAGCGTTCCGTGCACTTCGGTGTTCAGTCATGCCGGCCACATGGCCACGGAGACTGTCTGTGGACAAACGCTGGCTCCCTCGGCTAGGAAACGGAGCTGAGCACCGCCCCCAGAAGTCAGGCATGACTGGACTTCACGTCAAGGGGAAACCTTTACCTTTTACCATAGTCCAAGAGCTCTCTGGGCAGCTCACAGGACAAAGAACAACGACATATCATACAACTGTAGTCAAATTAAAACTATAACATCTACAACCTCTTAAAATTCAATAATATATTAGCATGGCTTTTAAACTCCCAGGACAATCGGCATAAAGTGCGTCGTGGCGATCAAGGGCACGGAATGGGAGGGAGGGAGGGAGGGAGGAAGCTCACAACCAGCAGTGGTCGTGGCCAGTCCTGTGTGGAGTTAAAAATGCCAATGCTCAGAGCTCGGAAGGCCCCCCCCCCCCCCCCCCCGGCGGAGCCCTCCCCAACCTAGTCCGCCCTCTTGCCACCGTGATCCTCAGCCGTGCCCCGAAATGCCGCTCTTGGGGGCCCGCCCTCGTCATTACGGGCAGCTTTGGGTACCCAGCTGCTCTCCCCCGCAGGAGAACGCCCGCCAGGCCGTGCAGCGGCGCTTCTCCCAGGTCCTGGCTGCGCTGGGCATCAGTGAAGAGATGCTGTGGAAGCAGGCGGTGCGGCCCTCTAGCGGGAGGTCTTCGGCCAGGAGCACGTAAGGATAAGAGGGGCGGGAAGCACAGCGTGCCCATTTCCGTCCAGGTCACGGCCCTGCGTGCACCGAGGGCCAAGGAGAAAGCAGCTGCTGGGAGCAATACTAACCCTGCATCTCAAAAAGACTGATCCTTGAATGCCACACCTGGCAGGGAGGGTACCTGTGAACAGGGCTGCATCTAGCAGCAGGCAGATTGGACCGCAGCCCAGGGAATTTTATGTTATAATAAGCGTGTTTTTACGGCACTAGAACCCAGGCTGGGGTGCTGCGGACAAAGGACCGTCTGGTGGGCTAGCCGGGAGGCCCCGTCCAGCTCTCCAGGAGCCACCGTCCCCGTTTCCCAGGACGCTCTGATATCCAGGCCGTCACGGGCGCTGTCCCGTGCCTGCTCCTTGCCCAGCGCCTTTCCTGGAGGGGTGGAAGGACCGGGCCACCCGCTGTGGTCCCCTACCGGGCGACGCGTCACGCTCGCCAGCGTCACGAACGGCGAAGCCGAACGCCGTGCTGCTTGGAGGAGGCTGCCTGATAGCTTCTGCTCCCAAGGTCCAGCGGCACGAGCTTCCTGGGCTCGCCGGCGGGAATCTTTTCCCATCCCCCTGGGAGGTTCCCTGGGAGGAAGTTTTGCAGGCAACCCACTGAGCGCCCCCTTTCCAGAAGGAGGCATGTGCACTTGGGGGGCTGTGAGCGCCTCTAGGGGATCCTGGCCAGGGCGATGCTTGTCTTCCAGGCATAAGAGGACAAAGTCTCCGGAAAGCCTCCAAGAACAGAGCTGAGGCTGAAGCACGGCCAAGAGGGGATCCAGCAGCCGGACTTGCACCTCCTGGACCTGTAGCCACGAAGCACCTGGAAATAAAGCTACCTTTGTGTGGGGGGGAGAGACTCCCCCTCGGTCTCACTCTTCCTGCTCTGTGCGTGTGTGAGGGAGGGAGGGAGGGCGGAGGGCGAGGCCCACCACCAGGCCTGCCCCACAGGCTGTGGAACAAAACGCACGAGGGCCCCAGGGCTGGCCCTGCAGACCCTCCGGTGGCTCTGTCTCCAGGAGCTCAGCCTGAGTCCCACCACCCAGCGGGGCCGGCCCCTCAAATCCGTCCCTCCGGGCTGGCAGACGGCAGCGGGTGAGGTGCCGGATGACACTGGGGTGCATCTTGCAGAGCCGGTTCTCCCCGGGGCGGCAGCCACAGCAGCGGCGTGCGCGGAGTAAATCAGGCTCTGCCCATCCCTGCAGCAAGGCTGAGCGTCGCCGAGCATGTGCAGAACCTCATCCAAAGGGCCACAAATACAGAGTCCAGTGACCATATTTAAAAGTGCACGAGGAAAAATTCCTCTTTGGAAGTAAGCTAAATTATTTCCAATTGAATCAAAGGCCTTCAGGGGAGTTTATAATCGCAGTGCTGTAAAGCTGGCTTGGATTCTCGTCCGGGGCATAATTCGCCGTTATAACTGTAACCAAGGTACGCAGGAAGCGTAGGCTATTAGATGCTCAGAGAAAAAGAAATCTTGGAGGAAAGAGATGGCTTTTCCCGGAGTGGGGTTCACGTCTTTGACCCCCGAGCTGCTTTCAAGTGAGCTGGTTTTGACATTCGTATCCAGCCGCTAGAAGTGCCAATTGCAAAAGCAGACGGGCCTTCTGCAGTCTGGCTTTGCCCAGCGGCCCAAATAAAACTGTTTAAGGGACCCCCTTATAAAAGGTATAGTGCAGCCGTTCTTGGAATGCTTTGTACAGTTCTGGTCCACACCTGGCCTTCAAAGGGGGCACTGTGGAGTTGGAAAAAGGGCAGTTAAGAAGTGGGTTTACGGGTCATTTCCTAGAGATTTACAAGCCGGCCAACTCCAAGGCTTACAATCATTCTATTCAAAGCCATGCTTCCCTTCTCGTTGTCCAGCCCTTGCACTTTTACGTGATTGGGGTTCTGCTAATCTGGCTGGGACGTTTCAGAGGGTGGGGAAAGAGGAGCCCCTGGCCTTTCTCTCCTCTGCCCCATCCTGAAAATGAGAACACCCATTTTCTCACTCTCTGGGGTCACGTTCCCGAACTTGGAGGGCAGTGCGGGACTGGAAGGGCTTCAGGCTCCAGCCCTCCGGATCTAAAGCAGAGTTTTGGCAAGCTGGTGTGGAAGGGCCATGGCAGGGGGCCGCTGGTTCCTCGGACCACCTGCCAGCCGGCCCAGCTTTGTCTTTGCCGCACCACCGATGGCATCACAAAGGAAGGCGATTCCCCCTTTGGAAGGCTGGGGTTCCCGCATTCCAGGAGTGCCAGCTTGCATCTGGGCGGCACGAGGACAGACCCTACACCGAGAGGGCTGCTCACACAACCGCCAGCATGGATTACCTCACCGTCCCCGCCATGGCTTCTCTGGAGAAGGCCGTGCCCAAAGACGACCAGGTCCAGGTCCTGGCTTCCGGGAGTCCAGGGACTTCGGGGGCTGCTGCCAGCCAGGCGTCCGGCATGTCCCTCTCCATCCCGGTCTCTCAGGATCTATCCACTATCACGTCGATCACCTCCGGAACGACTTCCACGGGCAGCAAGGCGAGAGAATCGAGGAGGCTGAGCAAATTCCACAGGGCCAGGCGAACGAGCAAGGCACACTCCACGCAGAGATCCAAAGGTGAGAGTCGGGACCGGCCAGGTCATTTCCCTCCCGGGCTGCACGGTCTCCTGGCAGCAGCGACTGAGAACGACTTCATATAATTTACAGCCACTCCCAGGTGCCTGATGTTTGATGGTTTGCTAACCCTGCTGGAAAAACCCAAACAGAAAGAGTGCTGCCTTTTGAACTCACTTAAATCATAGTAACACCTTGAGAAGTGGTGTTTGCTTCGGATAACGTCTTCCTTTGCTGCTCTCACCGAGGTTTTTTTTTGGCCAGCCTTGGGCTGTGGGTATGTTGAAGCTAAGCCGGTCCAGGGCCGGCCTGAGCTTGGAGGGGAGCCACCTGGGAACCGCAGGCAGCCCCCCTTGAGTTCCGCCATGGAAGAAAGGTGGGAAATAAATATCATAAATAATCACAATAGTCATTGTAATAACAATGTATTAATGTATTCTTGATGCAATACATTACTTGTGTATTAATGCAATACATTAGCTATTATTAATGTAATAATAATTACATTACATGTATATCCTACTTTTCTTCCTCTTGTGGGGAACCCAGGGTCACTGACATAGTTCCATTTTCTCTCCTCTGCAACAACCCTGCAAGCCGGCCGGAAGTCAGCCGGGGGCTTCAAGCCGAGAGAGGACTAGCAGGTGCCGTGATCTCCCAGGTCCTTGGCCCAAATCATTCACTGGTGGCAAGTCCAGTATGTTTTCGTGCTGCAAAACCTTTCCTCCACTGGGGGCGTTTGCCCCGGCGGCCCCCAGGAACCACCCTGCTGTTACAACATTGTGTGGTTGTGGGAATGAGTCGCAGGACTAGGGAAAGGGCCCCAGCTGTGCCCCCACTAAGAAAAAGTCTCCCCTCCGCTCAGTCATGGCCAAATCCGCCCGGCACCATCGCAAGCGGAAGCGGCGACGCCTGACGCTGAAGGAGCTGCTGAGCCGTTCCTGGCAAAGCACCCACCCCTACCTGGTGGCGTTGCGCCAGATCATCTACAACTTGACGCAGTCCATCTACTTCGACATCTTCATCTGCAGCGTGGTCGCCGTTAACACCATCCTGCTCGTGGTGCAGACGTTTGCCGTGGTCGAAATCCGAGGAGGTGAGGAGATGCTGGCTGCTGGGGCACATGGGTCTAGTGGATTCCCGTGTCCCTCCACATCTGTGGCTTTCTGCGGTGCTTCCCGGGACTCGGCCACCCGCCTCGCAAGTCCACGTCCCCCTCTCTCCCCAGAGTGGTTCTTCTCTGCCATGGACCCAATCTTCCTCTCTGTCTACGTCGTGGAGGCCATCCTCAAGCTGATCGCGCTGGACTTTGACTACTTCCATGACCCCTGGAACGACATCGGTGGGTCTTCCGCGGAATGGCTCAGGACACGGGAACTGCCACGCAGCCAAGGAATTCCAGAACCGAACGCTTTGATCGGCAGACCGCCTGAGCAGAGCAGCGAGGGCAAACCATTATTTCTTTATTAATTGAATTTATCTGCTGCTACAATTTCTTTCTTTCTTGCTTGCTTTCTTGCTTGCCTTCTTGCCTTCCTGCCTTCTCTCTCTCTCTCTCTCTCTCTCTTTCTCTCTTTCTTTCAAACTTTTTTACACCATCCCTTACCATGATCTCAAGACAATTTAACAATGAGACAAATTAGAATAAAACAAATAGCCCATATCTGCACAGCTCACAATATAAAAACGCAGCCTTCTAAAATCAATAAACGTTAAAGCAACCTATTAGAGCATATTAACACTTAATCCCAACGTAAAAGCGAATATATCAAAATTAAAATAGAGCATAAAACAGTAAGCAAAACAATTTAAACTAAAATCCATTAACGCCAAGCATGGGGTCAGTTTTAAGACAAGCGGCTGCTGTACCATAACATGGGTTTACCCCCCCCCTTCTGTTTTTGCTTTCTCCTCTTTGATCAGATTTCTTCATCATGATCATGACGGTGCTGGATTTCGTGCTTTCGCTCTTCACCTTGGCGAGGAAGGGGAACCGAGGCAACACCCTCACTCTTTTCCGGGTCCTCAAAGTCTTTAAAGGGATCCGAGCCATCCGCTCCATCCGCTTTCTTCTCACGCTCCGGTCAGCACCCTGATCGTAGGAATGTCAACTCAAAGAATGCAAAGGAGCACTCGGAACCTCCAGGGGGGATCCTGTGTTTTTCCATTCGGATGTTTCTCGTAATCTTTAGCTGAAATTTGCGTCTTTACACTGTCTGGTCATTAGTTCTAATCCTGCCCCCTAGACAAGGGTAGCATCTAGACCAGGGTTCCCCAGACAGTCTGGCTGGTTTATGGCACAACTAATGAGGCTCTGAAAAGAAAAAGAAAAAGAGAGAGCTTGCTAGATTTGAGCAAGGAACGGATCTGCATTCAAGTTCTTTGGAATCAGCCATTTTCTGCTGTAACCCCCATTGCACAGAAAGCTTGGAGACATGTCACCTGGCCGCTCTGCAAGGCAGAGTGGAGTCTTAGGTACTGAACCGCATCAGGCCCCCCAAAAATGCCACAGGGCGCCCATTTCACGGAAGGCGAGGGAGTGACGCTCAGCAAGAAAAATTGAAAGGCATGGACTGTAAGAAAACAGGAGAGGCTGTTCTCATGTACCTAAAAACGGTTAGAAAAGGAGAAGGCATCAATAAGATTTTTCAAAATATGTGCAGAGGGAGACTGGGCGCCAGGAGAGATCTTTGCGAACTGAGTCATGCTTACGATGGCAATTTCCAGGCATTTGAGAACATCTCTCCTTCCTTTTCCCCCCTGCAAAGAAATAGAGCCGAAGGGACAATATTCACCTGCAAATAATAAAATAATAAAAATGAGAAAGATGGCACGGAGCCATGGGGGGGGGTCAGTGTTATCTTAATTTGGAATGCCAGGGCAGGCTGCAACGAGCGCTTTCTCAAGCTCTGAGCAAGTGGCAGGAAGTATTGCAAGCCGGCCCAAGACGCCTCGTTTCATGTCTTGTTCTATCCTGGCTGTTTTCCCGCAAGGAACCCAAGGTGGTTGACAGAATCTCTCCCCTCATCTCCATTTCATTGTTGCGACAGCCCTGCGGGGTAGGTGAGGTTGGCCCAAAGGCATCCCAGGAGCTCCATGGCCGACGGGAGGGTAGAACCCGGGACTCCCGAGTCCCAGCCCGGTTCTCACCGCTTTGCCACCTTGTGGACCCGCAAACACTCCCCGCCAGCCAAGTCGCAACACACCACACCCAGTCCATTTATTTTGGGCCCAGAAGCAGAAGATGAAAGCTGCGGGAAGGTTGTGTCCGGGCAGGTGGACAGGGGCTGCCCGAGGACAGCAAACTAAGTCTGTTTTCTGGTTTTGTATTTCCGCACAGAGTGATGGAGAACCTCCAAGAAGTCACAAGCACTTTCATGCTTTCCAGCCAGTCCATTGGAGCTATTATTCTCCTCATGTTTTCTTTCCTGTGTATCCTTCCCCAAAAGAGCTGGAAGTACAGAGAGGGAAGTATGGCTGACCACACACACCCCCAGAACACGTGTGTGTTTAATCATCACCCCCATATCGTGCCTTTCCTCTAAGGAGGCAGCACACATGCCATGCCTCCCTGCACTTTTATCCTCACAACAACCCTGCAAGGTAGGCTAGGCCGAGAGAACTCCCAGCTGGCGCAGGGGCAGCTAGCTGTTGAATGACATGATGGATCGCTCTATGTTTCTGCTTACTCACCGACTGCTGTTGCCTGTTTCCGCCTAACTCCTTCCTCCAGTCATGTCTTCGGTGCTGCTGCGTGACATGTTTCACGAGGCTGACTCCAAGCACTTTGGAGACCTCTTCAAGACCATTTTCACCCTTTTCCAGCTCTTCACTTTGGACGACTGGTCCCTCATCTACCTTACCTGTTATGCAGCAGGTGAGGGGAGGCAGCGGGTACCTGGGAAGGAAGGGCATCCCACCTTAACTCTTTCAGGGATCAAAAACTTCGGCTCACTTCTTTGAACCAGTAGGAAGTCCTGGGACGGGGAAGATGGGCAGCCGTTATGGGAAAGCATGCAATGCTACACACATTTCGCCAGAACAAAGACCACAAATGCCCAGCGTTTCCCCACGTAGGCAAGCTGAAAAAGTCCTAGGACTTTCTTCTGTCTGAACTTGCCTAGGATTGCACCCTAAGTACATTTATTTTGCCCCTGGTTTTAATTGGCGTTCACTCGCTGTCGTTCATCTTAACTAGACAGTGGAAAATTGGATCTTGTGAACTGCAATCTACCTGCAATCGCTCACCCATATTCTCTTTTCTCCTCCCAGGAGCTTGGTACATAATCTTCTTCCTCATCATCTATATCCTAGTGGAATACTTCTTACTTCTCAAGTAAGAAATGGCTGTGTATCCTACCTAAGACTTTTTATTACTGGGGAGTTGTTGGTCAGATGTTATGGCAAAGTTTATTCATATATTACTTTTTATTGTACCTTTCTGCCAAGAAACTCCAGGCAGCAAACCTTCCCCCCCACCCCTGCATGTTATCTTCTCCACACCCTGCAAATGTGTAGGACTGCAGATCCCACGTCTGGCGGGCACCAGGTTGGGGGAGGTTTCTTCCATTATTTAGGGTTTTAGAGACTAAATTCTTACATTGAGCCCCATTGGCCTCTCTTCCTGCTTCAGTAGAAGGCAACATCCTATGTTTCTCTTGGAGATGATGGGGGCTGCCGTCCAGGGGCAGGTGGAGGGCCACATGGTCCCCATGTCTTCCTGGGCCAGCTCACTGTGTCCTTGGCGGATGCCGCTGCTGCACCCGCATCCGTCGTCTCTCCCCTCCAGCCTGGTGATTGCGGTCCTGGTGGATAATTTCCAGATGGCCTTGCTGAAGCGCCAGGAGCTCAAGAAACGGAAGGTCAGCCTGCAGCTGAGGGAATGGGTGTGCTCTCAGCCGGAGGGCCGAATTCCCATCGCTGGAGGCCTTGCGCTCAGCCAGGTGGTTGTGGTCCTGGGAGGTGCTTTGCAGGTGGCACGGCATTCCGGGGAAGCCCAGAGTGCTCGATTTGGGGCTGCACACAAGCTGGATTTGGTTCTGAGGTTCTTCAGCCCCGTTTGGCGAGGGGATCCAAAGGGAGGATCCGCGGCAAAACTCTCCCGGGAAAGGTGCCAGGTGGCGAGAAACTCCAGGGCTCCACTTTGCATATGCTGATTCACATACACTCTAACGAGTGTGCTTATGAGTGTGTATGGGGGGGGGGGTGGCTGAGTGTGCTTAAAGCATCCTTTAAGCACCCTTTTTAAAAAGGGGGATGAGTGGAGAGGAAGAGGAGGGGCATTTGATGGAAGGAAACCCCCTCGGGCAGCAAGATTCAGGGAGGGGAAGCGACATGGGCAAAAAGCAGCTACTGGAGGGGGTGTAGATGCAACAGAGCTCCTCCGGGCCGCCGGATCTTTTCAGCCTGTGACCCTGGAAATTCTGGGCGCCATCCTTAGCAGGCTGTGGCCCCTAACTCCTGTGCCTTTGTACCTTTCCCTTCTCGAATGGACAGAAGCTGATCCAGCCGAAGGACAGCTCTGCAGAAGAGGACACGGCCGCAAAACCAACCGGTGATGGTTTCTTTGGGTCACGTTTTAATCTGGGAGGGGGCTTAGCCAAGGCCCGGGTCTGGAGACACTTGCCTAGGCCGAGTGCCTCTCTTTCACCAACACCGTGAGCATGCCTGCTCTCGATGCTTGGAATTAACAGGACTGGCCACCACTTAGAAACTGTGGCTTCCAGGAACTTTTGAGTACCAGAAGCTTCCCGGTGAGCGGCAGGACTGAGCTAGGCGCCATATTAAAGGCAGCCGGAGGAAAGCTCCTACCCCTTTGGAGCCATCTAGGGGTTTTATTCAAACGTCATTTTAACTGTTAATACTATTTAATTATTTTATTCTTCGGCCAGGGCAACTTATTTTATATTGTTAACCTGTTTTATATTTTTACTGTATAATATTTTAATTGATATATCTGTGAGCCGCCCCGAGGCTTCAGCGAATGGGGCGGCATAGAAATTTTCTAAATAAAAATAAATAATAAAATAAAGGGGAAGAAACATGCCTCAGGCAAACTGGCCATTGAGTGAACGGTTTTACACGAGTAGACAGGGGGCAGAAGGCCCTATTCGGATTGGGACCCTGGGGTGTAGGTTGGGGTGGGGGGCTTCAAGCCTTCCTTTCTTCTGCCCCCTGAAAAGTGCGGGACTTTTTCTGCTCTTTGCCTTGTGACAAATAAAGGAAAAATGGAGGAGGAGGAGGAGTTCTTTAGGCGGATGGTCATGGAAAAATACGCCAGCCTCGAGTTACAGGACAGGTGAGGAGCTGCAGCCGCTGGCTGTGACGGCTGGGAAGTGACAACAGTCCTCCACACCACCTTATTTTCCTTCCGTCGCCTCCAGAGAGTGGCAGCTTCTCTACAGCTATTTCCAGCTGATGACGGCCATTGAAACGAACCAGCAGCAGTTCAGGTCTCAGACGGCCGTCACCGACAAGATCCTGGATACTTTCTTTGAGGTGGGAGAGCTCTCTGGCATGACCCCCTTCAAGACCCTTTCCCGTGCCTGCTCCCAATGGATATCTTCTGCTCTCGTTCGCCCATAAAGGAGACATCTTTGGAGCTCTGTGGGGCCGAGGTGAAGCTGTTGTGCTCCTTGCCACCCAGTGGGGCTGCAGAGAACCAGAGAAGGGTTTCTCCAACGGCCTTCTCCAACCAGCATCCCCCTGAATGTTTTGGACCACAACTCCCGCCTATCTGTCCCAGCCAGCATGAGCACATGGCTCCTTAGAGTTGTGGACCAAAACATCTGGAGGGAGCTGAATTGGGGAAGGCAGCCTTAAGGGTGTAGAAATTGCCCTGTAAGGTCCCTCCGGGTCCCCCTAGCCAAGGTTTGTCTCCAACAGTGGTTCCTCGGGTGGTGGGATGCCCATCACCAAAGAGTGAACCTCAAACAGATTTTGCTGGATTGGAAGAGGACGGGTCTGTCTCACAGGGCTGGGTCCCAAAGTGGGAACGGTTGGGCATCATCCACGGGCTGCACCTCATGAAGGGGCCTGCTGAGAACTGCTTCAGTTTTGTCTGCCACTCTGAGCCGTCTGGATGAAGAGTTTTCAAAAATATAAGATATACCTCCTGGTGAGTTGTTTTGCCTTACATTTCTTTTCAGACGGCTGAAGATGGTTGCATTCCTAAATGAGAGACAGCCGGATATTTGTGGTGCTCTCACAGGCTGGACTCAGCTTGTTCACAGAGGCTGCTGAAGTTAAAGGGTCAACAGTACTTGATTATTATTTTTGATTGCCTGCTTATATTAAAGATTATGTTGTGTTTGTTGAATAATGTACCTATATCAACATTTCAGTGTAGCTAGCGTAAGTATGTTGTGAGCCGCCCCGAGGCGTTGTTGCAATGGGGGCGGCATAGAAATGTTTTAAATAAATAAAATAAATAAAATAAGTAATATTTGTACTGACAGTTGCTACTCACAAAGTATCACTGGATGGTAACACAGACATCAAAATGTTGTCATGATTAAACAGTGATCCAAATAAAAGTGTTAGTTTTAAGGTGTCACATCTTATCGCCATCTTTTGTTGTTATTACCAACTAACACCTGGAATGTTTTTGTTCTGTTTTTGGCATTTTCATTTTTACTTCCTTGAACTCCATTTGATGGGATACACATTTCAGAATTCTCACATCATGCCAGTTCTCTTCCTTTTGCTGTACCTCTGTCCCAATTTGACTAGCAGTCTTGGGGTTGTTTTTAGTATTGTTGCTTATTGGTCGCTGTTACTGTTTTTACTGTGATACTGTTATTTTTATCTTGGCTTATGTTTTTATGTTGTAAACCACCCAGAGAGCCTTTCTGGCTAGGGGGCAGAATATAAATGTCATAAAGGACACACAAAGAATGTGTCACTAAAGTGCATTGTCCAAAGGCATCACTTCACAGTAAACAGTGCGGATGAAAATGTTGTGTAAATGTGAACTCAATCGCTCCAACCAGAGATTTGTTTGCAATCTTTTGACATTCAAGATTTTTGTTTAAGGCAAAGGAGGAAACCAGAAAATACCAAGTACTTATGGTGAACATATTTGTATTATGATTGTTTTAAAATGCGGTTTTTAAAAACCTTTGCACTATCTTGATCTTATTGTTTATTCATGACTACATTTGTATCCTGTCTTTTTTTCCTCTTGCAAAGAGTTGCGTAAGAATTTTCTGCTTTTGAGTCTCACACAGCCCTGTGCGGTAGGCTGCTCTGCTTTGAACTGCTATAAATGCTGGTGAGGATGATGATGATAAATACCCGAAAGATTATCCTTTGCTAAAAGCAAAAGAATGCTAGACATGCGAGCAGCCTGAGGGAAGAAACCGAGGCCCTAACAAAGGGTTTAAACCCATTCAAACTACACGTCCCAACAGGCAACGCTTCTTTACCCTGGTAGAACGCCAGTTACCCTGATTGGTTGCCTGGGCGCATGCGCAGATGCTGCCTGTGGCCCTCTTCGTTTCCTCCCTCCCTGAGTCTACGGTCGCACTCGGTCGGCTTCATTCATTGGCCGCGTAGGTCGGCGTTGATTGGAGGGGAAGTGCGGGGGCGCCTACAGTGGCCGCGCGGTCTCAATTGGGCGGAGCTTGTGTCAGCGCTGCGCGGAAGGGAAGATGGCGTCCGAGGCGCACTCCGAGTCTCCCAAGGCGGGCGAGCTGCCGTTGCCAGGATACACGGCCTGGTCCCCCAACGAGCTGCAGGCCAAGCTGGCCGAAATCGGGGCTCCCACGCAGGGTGAGACCGCCGCGGCGGCGGGGCGGGGAGGGCCGCGGCCTGCGTTCTGCCTGCGCGCATCCGAGGAGCGCGGCCAGCGGGGAGGCGGGGATGCTGGAGGCCTTCGGGCTGATCTGGCCTCGGGGCTTTGCTCTTGCAGCAGCAGCAGCAGGAGGAGTTGTGGGCAGCGGGAGGAAAGAGTTCCCTTTGCGGGATGCCCTCCCCGGGCCGTTCTTTATTTACTACCCCAGCCTACCTTACAGGGTTGTTGTAACGATGAAATGACGGGGTAGAGGATTATATAACCCTTCTTGGGTTCTTTGCAGGAAAAAAGCGAAGTATAAGTACAATTGTTTTATTATATTGGTATTGATTGTTTTATTGGTTTCTGATTTTAATATTGTAAGCCATCCTGAGATTTCATACATAAAGGACGGCATATACAAATTTTAAATAAATATATAATAAAGTTACATTTACAGGCTGATTTTTTTCCTTTTGCAAGGAACCAAGGTTGGATTGCAATTATTTAGTTATTTATTATATCCCACCTTTCTCCCATTGTCATGGAAGCCTTGTGTGCCTTCACACTCTGAATGTTTCAGTTTTATGTTTAACCTGTATTTCTAAACCACCCAGAAAACTTAAGTTATTGAGTGGTTTAAAAGTATACTAGGGATGCAATTCAGTATATGTTTAGACAGAAAAAAAAAGCGCATGACTTCTAGCATGGCCCAGCTGGAATGACATACTGGGAACTAAAGGACTTGATTCTGACTAAATATGCATAAGAGTGTGATGAAGCTGACTATTTTAATTAAGTTGTTAATAATAATAATAACATACTAGTTTAAATAATTAAAGTTGGAGTGCATAAGACTGCATGAGATAAAAAGAAGCTTTTTCTGGGATAGGAGGAGAAAAGGAGTAATAAGTATATGGAGAACAGCGACAGGAAAATTGGTGTCTGTTTGCTGCTATAATGTTGACAACAAAGAAATTGAGTTGTGGGCTGGGAAACCTGTAGTTCAGATTTAATCTCTGCTTTATGTAAGGTCATGATCATACAGCTCTGTTTCCAGGATATCAGGTAAGGTCTTTCCCAGCTCTGAGACCTGAGATCCTTTTTGAAAGCTTCATCTCAGAATCTTTAATATGGTCTGGCACTGAACTATTGTCCCTGGTGTGAATTCATTAAATAGCCTTAAGCAAACTCTCATTCCTGCAGCTGTCATGATTACATTTACTAATTTGCAGATCTTCATTGCAATAATACATTGGATGTCTCTATCTGTATCCCGCCTTATATATTTAATGTGCTTAGGGAAGCCTAGTTCACACAGTAAGTATTATTAGTATTTGTAATTCAATCTATCAGGTTTCCTGACTGAGTTTTCTCCTGAGATATCTTTGTTGTTCCTGACCTATGGCAAGAAGGGAGTGAATGAAAGAGAGAGAGAGACTGGTGCTTTCCCCAGGTGGGAAGTACATGGGATTGTCTTGATGGTAAAAAGAACTGAATGCAAATATTAGGACGGGGTCAAATATCAACTTGAAGAGGATTGTTAATGTTCTGGTAATCCTGAGGTATCCAAGCCAGATTTGAATTTAAGCACTCGCATGGCAACTGTGTTTGAGAAAAAGCTTTCAGACAGCGGCTTGGGTTTCCATGCATACATAGGTGAATGGGTTAAGTGAAGGAGGGATGTGTCTATTCTGGCCACATCCCTCCTCTGTGGCCAGAATGGACAGCAAGCAGCTAAAAGAGTAATATATAAGCTAAGCTTTTCTATGAGCTTATTTACAAGATGTCGAAGTTCACATGACACAGGGTAACCCCCAAGTGACATCAGCATTCTTTTTTTCTTCCAGGTGGCCGCGAAGAACTGGTGGAACGGTTGCAAACATACACACTTCAGGTGAGCCTTGAATTCTTTGGGCAAAAGAGCTGACATTTTCTAGTGGAAGCTGCTGTGCTTTGGTGATCTCTCATCTTGGCCAGCCATGGTGCTTGAGGATAAGCAGGGGCTACTGCCTGGGGAAGAGGATGGCTGAAATGAAAGTAGAGATGGCACCAGGCAGACCTCTTTCGGAAGCCCGTTCCAAAGGTTGGGAGCAGCCACCGAGAAGGCCCTGCTTCTAAATACCACCCCTTTTACCTCTTTTAGAAATGGCTGTCTCAGAAGGACCTCATTCTCAGATCTCAGTATCTTAATACACTAGGAATGTACGTTGTTTCGGGAGGGCAAGGCAGATCGTAAATCCTTGAGGTAAATACTGGATGCTTCCGTTGGAAGGATGAAGCACCAACAGTTTGCGGCTTCTTTTACAGACCGGAATTGTGCTCAACAGGCCAGTTCTGCGCGGAGATGATGGCGACAAGCAAGCCCCTCCTCCCATGCCGGGGCAGGTGGGTGATTTGGCCAGGGAAATCTCTCCAGCATCTCCTGTAAGGCTTGGGTGGCCCTGGGACACTTGCCCCAGTGGGGGCACACTTTCCTTCCAGGCAGCAGGGAAAACTCCCCCAGGACGGCTGACAGTCTTTAAAAACATTAAAAACACAAAGCGTACTGCGAAGGGCCCGGTAATAACGCCTCCTCTCTCCTCCTCAGCTCCCTGGGATCCCTTTGCCACCGCCTCCCATGGGGATGCCGCCCATGCAGCCCCCGCCCCCACCCCCTCCCCCCGGCATGGGCCTCGGCTTTCCCATGGGGGTGGGGCCCCCACCTCCACCACCCGGCCTGGGCCCACCGCTCCGCATGCAGTCCGTGGATCCTTCCGCCTTGCCCGAAGAAGAGCGGCTGAAGCTAGCCCAGCAGCAGGCCGCCATGTTGATTCAGCAGGAGGAGCGGGTCAAGAAGGTAACGGCTCGCTTGGGTTGCCTGCCACTCGTATTTTGGCTTTGCGCTGTAGCCAGACGAGCCTCCCTGTGCAGCCTGCTTAGAATCGGCCGGAGTGGGTGTTCCCTGCCTTGCAGGCTGACAGTTCAACAGGTTGTGGCACTCCAGGGAAGTGGAAGACTGGGGAAGGAAGAGGGCTTTCGAGGTGGCTCGGGTTTCCCCCTCATCTCTCTCTCATAGTCCACTGGAACGGGATGTGGCCACAGTGTCCCTGGTAGATGACTGTCCAGTCTTGCTAAATGTGTTGAAGCAGAGGCCGACTCCCATCCGGCAGGGATGTTGTTGCTGCATTGGGATCCTGCATGGGGTTAGACTAGATGACCTCTGGGGTACCTGTCCACTCCAGTCTTCCACGAAATGCCAGCAAGATTCCTGCCGCCTCGGCTTTTCCCTGGAGAGGCCTGCAGCAGAGCTCCATCCTTGGGATTCGGTGCTTATGGCCGAACCTTCGGTGCACACTAGGAGGCTGATTTTGGGGAGGGCCGCAAAGCCCCGAAGAGTGGCTGGTGGTTGGGCAGGCCGGGCCCAGGCTGCTTTGCGGGTTCTGACTGGCGCTTTGTTTCCCTCCCTGCCCCACCCTCAGGCTGTGATGGAGCAAGAGCGCCAGCAAGAGATGGCCAAGCTGCCCCCCTCCATACCCAGGTCCTCTCCAGAGATCGGGCCGAGGCCCACGGGACTCCCGAGAGGTGAGCATCCTTGGACTGGGGGTGGGAACCCGGGGCTGTCCGCTGTGCTGGCACAGGCCCCTCCAGAGAGGCTCAGCCCTTTTCCTCTGTACTGGCTGCACCATCTCGAGGACAAGAATTCCTTCCCACGAATTCTCACTCCAAGGACGGACTCTCCTGCAAGGGGCCCATTTCCTCTGAAGTGGCCAGTGGCCCCTTGGAAAGGGTGTCCCTCCAGGAACTGTCAGCTCAAAGCGTCGTCAGTTACTCCAGTTCAGCGTTCCCCAAGCTGGCAGTGTCCAGAGTGATGGGTGTTGTCGTCCCACACCTCTGGAAGATGGTGCGTTGAGGAGGCCTGCTCCAGCCCCAGTCCTCGGAAGGCAGTCCTGCAACAGTGTTGGATGGAAGCGCATTCCGGTCCTTTCCTGAATGTGCTGCTGTTAATTCCTCCACTCTTTCCCCAGGTAACCCTTCTGTGGGCTCCTCTGTTGGCCCCCCAGGCCCAAGGCCCCGCGGCCCACCGCCACCTCCAGGAGAGGACAGTCGAGAGGTGAGGTCGTTCAGTGTAGAACGTGCCGGGGAGGGTGAAAGCGGACCTTAAATTGTGGTTGCCAGCTGTGGGGAGGGGAGGAATTAAACCAGCTGTTCAACCAGGCATGGCGCTTCTCTTGGGCAATCTGGCCTCTTAAGACATTTGTTCTGGATTTTGGGGGGCGGAGGGTTGATATGCCAAGTTCTCAGGGTTAGGCAGAAGCCGAGGAATTTCTCTTTAGGTTTTTATTTTTCTTTTACATAGCGGCTTCCGTAACTCCTGTCTCCTGGAATGCCTCACTCATTCCCTCGTCCCCGCTGTCTTCCTTTTCCCTTTTGCTGCCTCACTTCTTTGCCGGAAACGAGTTTGTTCTGCGAAAATAAGAGCTCCAACCAGAATGCTTTGCCGAGACCAAATCAGACTTGTTAATACACAGCCGTCCTTTGATTGTTTTTTTCGTAGTTCTTTTCTTCTCCACTGATCCCAACCCTCTGACTCATTAGAGCAAGGGAACACGGCTCTTTTGGGCCCAAGGTCCACTTGAGTGAGTGAGAGAGAGAGAGAGAGAGTGTGTGTGTGTGTGTATACACACATCTGTACATGTTCGGGCACAGTATGTGAACTAGCAAACAGCCCTTCTTTCTGATTTTGAAGAAAATAGGGATAAGGGAAGGGAATACCTTCCTAGCGCTGGTAACGAACACGCATCCTTATTTCTAATTTTTCAGCAGAGGTAGGAGAGAAGGAAGGAATTCGTTTGGTAGCAGCAACAGGGAACTTCTCAGGCAGTGCTCCTGTGATTTTCCCCCCCCAGCAGTGGCAGCTGTGGGAGGGAGGGTTCTGGTGGACCCTTGCTAAATGGGGAAGCAAGTGAGGCCTTTCCAGTCTGGCAAATGCTGGTTTCTCTTCCAGATTGAGGAGCCTGGCGTGGGCCCCAAAATTCCGCAAGTTCTAGAGAAGATCCTGCAGCTCAAAGAGATCCGCCAGGAAGAGCTCACGACCGTGCCCAGCACCACAGGTAACGCGCTCCCAGCCAGGCAGTGGGCGAGCAGGTTAATGTCGCAGTGGACGGGGCCATCTGTCCATTCCTCTAGGTGTGCTTGCGCCTGTCGCAAGGGTGAGGTGTAACATTGTTAGGCTTGAGTTTATTTGCTTTTGAAACCCACAAGTTCCTAGCCCTCAAGATGCATTTGTGGAAAGCAGCAGGCGGGATGTCGGAAGTCAGAGGGAAGGCCCCTTCCGGGTTGGGCATTGCTTCTTACGCCGCCTTCCTTTCGCATCCGGGGCAGCTTCCCATGTTTTGCAGAACAGCAGTAAAAGCAACGGAAGGGTTTTAGGGAGATGCTGGAGAGGGTGGGGTGTCAGCGGGCAGGCTTCCCCGAGAGATGAATTGGGCGGGGCACAACTGTGTTTCCACTTGCTCCTTTTCTTGTAGATGACGACATGGAGACAGACCTGAGGACGCTGGCCGGCATCTCCGTTTCTGATGCCGAGGAGGATGCTTCGGCTCTCTCTAAGAAAGAGGTGAGCAGGGATTCTGCTGGAGCTGCGTGCTGCCCGCCCTCTCTGTGGTTAACCCACCAGGGCCTATGGCGCTCGCCGCTGGAGAAGGAGGGCTGGCGCTGATGGATCTCGCACTGAGGCACAGGAGCAGGGGGGTCTGTTGAGCGAGGCGGGAGCAGGCCGACCGGTCAACCCCCAGGAGTGCAGAGGGGAAGCAGGGCTGTCTGACCATCCCTGATCTCAGGCCGCTTAATGTTTTCCTTCTCCCTCCCCGCCCCTGTTCCTTGTGTGTTGTGAGCTTTTTTAGACTCTGAGGAATGGCCCCATATTGCTGGTTGACCGTGAGCCCCCTGGATGCCTTGTTAGCTGAGGAGCAAGAGAACAATGTTCTGTGGCAGGAGCCTGCTCTCTGAAGGGTCGGGTGTCTTGGAGGAACAGTGATTTTAAGATTTTAAGTTTGCTGATTTTAAGCCCCCTTTGTCCTTTGACAGAAAAACCGCAAGCGGCGGAACCGGAAGAAAAAGAAGAAGCAAAACGCAGCTCCGAAAGAGGGGCTGGCGACCCAGGATGGCAAGGGGCAGGGGGAGGAGCCGGGGAGCGATGCTGCCGTGGAAATAGAGTACGTTGCGGAGGAGCCTGAGATCTATGACCCCAATTTCATTTTCTTCAAGAGGATCTTTGAGGCATTCAAGGTACGGCGAGGCTCGGGACGACCCTCGCTGCTCTCCAGGTGGGAAGGCTGGAGGTGGGAGGACGCTGCCGTGTCGGCCTCTTGGCCTGTCTGAGGCCCCTGGCAGTGCAGCCAGACTGCCAGAATTTACTGATCCGTCACATTTGTATGCCACCGATATTCCTTCATTTTCAGGCAAGGTTCTTTCTAGTCTGCTTGGGAGAAAGTGTGGCGTAGTGGTTAGAGGGCTGGAGAGCAGCAGAAGGCCAGAAGGTGCCTGTCCATTCCCTCCTTAAGTAACTCCAGCCCACTGCCTCCCGATCTGTCAACAAAATCTGCCTCCTTCCCATTTTCACCCGTTCCAATCCTGCCATCTTTTCACTGAAACCGGTTCGAACGTAGGCACTTCCTTCTGTACAATGGGGGACGAGAAGAGCGGCTTCGGATTTGAACTTTTGATGAAGAGCGGCCTTTGATGGGTTCCCCCGTCTTTCTCCCAACTCATGGAACATCCCCACCCCAACCGTCTGCCCTTTCTTCTCCACAGTTGACCGATGATGTCAAAAAGGACAAGGAGAAGGAGCCGGAAAAGGCGGACAAGGTGGCCAGTTCAGCGGCCCCCAAGAAGAAGGGCTTCGAGGAGGAGCGGAAGGACAGTGACGACAGCTCGGACGATGAGCACGTGAGTGTCCGGAGAAGTGGTCCTGCCCCAGGGCCCTGGCACACAGCAGGGTGGCTCCCCCCGTGGCTCTTGGCCGTCCTGGCCGAGGATCGGAAACCCCATGGCTGCTGCTGCTGCTTGTGAGCTTGCAGGGGCCGGTGCAGTGGACTGGGGGCAGAGCACTGTGGGGATCTGTGGCAGTGAGAGCAGGGGTGGGGAACCCCGGGCCGGGGCCAAATACGCTCCCCCGAGACAGCTGCGGAGGCCACGCCCCCTTCTGCCCGGCCACAGGGTCTTTCCTGGTTTTCCACCTCTTCCTGTAAGAGGAAACGGCATGCTTGTTGATCACCGCAGGGCCCCCCTGCATTCCCCCCCAAGTGAAGCGAGAGGGGAGTGGGCAGGGAGTAAGGCAATCTCCTGCATTGCACCCTGGCTGTGGAATGCAATTCTGCAAGGAATTAGCCTGGCATTGGCGCTGTATGCTTTCCGGTGCCAGCTGAAGATCTTTCTGTTCCACACTGATTTTGAAAGGCAAATCTGTCGGGCTTGATTTTCAATTTACTTGCTGCCTCCATTGTAACGGTGACTTTATGGTTTGCAATTTTGGCCGTGAATTACGTTGTATTACAGGATAATTGCTGTATACCCCCCTCAATTTATTAATTTATCATTTAGCTATTTATTTTATATATTTAATGCATTTTATTACCCATTCTTACTCATTTTATGGAAACCACTGCTTTTATTCTGTTGTTGAATTTTACTCTGCTTGATCGTACGTAAGCCACCCAGAGAGTCTCTGGCTAATTGTGCGGCATATACATTCAATAAATGTTCCTTCCCAACTGTGTTCAGGAGAAAAAGCCAGAGGCCCCCAAACTCTCCAAGAAGAAGCTGCGGCGAATGAACCGCTTCACCGTGGCTGAGCTCAAGCAGGTAAGACCGATCTGATCTTTCTGTGCTTGGGCAGGAGCCAGCAGGAGGAGGGTGGCGCTGTTGCTCCCTTTGAAGAGAGGTGGGAGACCCTCCTTAGTGGTGCTTTCTCTTCCCGTCCCGGTTATGAGGAGAATCCTCCTGGGATAGAAACGCCCTTCGGAGGTGCCCGGATCCGGGTGTTAAAGCAGCCACATGTCTGGCACATCCTCGCCCGGCAGGGTTTGTGGCTGGACTCAGATAGGCTCTGGAGCCGAGCGCTGCGGCTTCTGGCCGTGGCGCCCGTCTCCTTGCGTGCGCTCAGCGTGGGTATGCGGCAAGGCACTCTGTCTGTGCTCAGCGGCGGCGTTCCGAACCCTGAGGCCACGCTCGGGGCTGAGGCCTGGCAGGGGGCCGGCAGCGGGTACTTGTGTGGGCTGTGCGTGAAGAGGCCCGAAGTGTCTTCCAGGGTGAAGAGAGGCCAGCTCCAGCCCAGAAGGTGAGAAGAGCAGTCCTGGTTTCTCCTCTCTGTGTCCTCAGCTCGTGGCCCGTCCCGACGTCGTGGAGATGCACGATGTGACGGCCCAGGACCCCAAGCTGCTGGTGCACCTGAAGGCCACCCGCAACTCGGTCCCCGTCCCCCGGCACTGGTGCTTCAAGCGCAAGTACCTGCAAGGCAAGAGGGGCATCGAGAAGCCTCCCTTCGAACTGCCGGAGTTCATCAAGCGCACCGGGATCCAGGAGATGCGGGAGGCCTTGCAGGAAAAGGTGGGGAGAGCGCCCCCTGCCCCCTGCTCTTGGGGGAGTCGCGCAGGCGTTCCTGAGAGTGCCCCTTGCTTCTGCCCCATAGACACACAAACTTAGATGATGGTTCACACTCACATACACACTCGGCCTCGGCAAAATCCTGCAAGAATGTTCTAGGGCGTTCCGGCCCTATTCCAGTCTTGCGCTGTAATGGAGTATCTCACCCAATTATAAAACCAGAAACTAGACCCTGAGGAGTGGAGGTATTAAGGCACCGTGGAGGAAGAGTTTAGAAACATAGATACAGAGTGAGTCAGAAGGGACCTCCTGGGCCATCTAGTCTGACCCCCGGCTCCAGCCGGCTCGGCTCACGACATGCCCAGTTTCAGCAGGCCTTCCTCAGCTGCTAGTCATACTTGGGCAGCCCAGCTTCTGGCTTCTGCGATCACATGATTTGGAAGCGTGACTTTGCCGGTGTTGTGGCATTTCCTTGACCCAAAGAGTTTGGTTGCCGCTGGCGAGAGCTGAGGAGCATCCGTCCCTTTTAATCTGCAGGCAGCACATTTGGGCGTCCGCTTTACTCTGCTCTTCCCATTCTGCTCCCCTCCCAGGAAGAACAGAAGACGATGAAATCCAAAATGAGGGAGAAGGTCCGCCCCAAGATGGGCAAAATTGATATCGACTACCAGAAGCTGCACGACGCCTTCTTCAAGTGGCAGACCAAGCCGAAGCTGACCATCCATGGGGACTTGTACTACGAGGTACCGGCAGGGCTGCCCGCTCTCTGCAGAGGGCAGAAGCGACACGGGCCGGTCCTTCATTGATACCTCTCTCCCTCCCCTCCCGCTCCAGGGTAAGGAGTTTGAGACACGGCTGAAGGAGAAGAAGCCGGGGGATCTGTCGGATGAGCTGCGCATCGCGCTGGGGATGCCGGTGGGGCCGGTGAGTGGTCCCATGGCTAGCAGCGTTCTCTGGAGCTGTGGAGGGCGAGCGGGCGCTCGCCGGTAGTGCCAAAGGCTGGGCCTCAGAGAGCCGCGATGCCCGCCCGCAGTTCGCCCCCTCCCTGGGTTCTTCCGAAATGTCCTCGTGGTTTAAAAAAAAATACAGCTAACGTGCATGGAAGAAAGCTGTCCTGTTCAGAGAGCTGTCATGTGTGTGTGTAGGCAGAACAATGCATTCAACGCCCCCCCCCCCCCCCCCCGGCATCCCCTCGCCAACACGCAAGGGGGTACGCGGCTTGTATCTGTGTAAACGCGCATTTGCACTGCCCCACCTGTGCCACACGGCAGGTGTGTTTGCACACTTTGGTCTTCCGTTCTCAGCGTAGCTTTGGACCTCCCCCACCTGTGCTCCTGAAATTCGTTTCAGAACGTCTGCTTTTGGGCAGGGGGGCAGGAGCTTAGGGAGGGGGTCAGCGCCGTGGCTTCAGTTTTGCAGAGAGGTAGACCTGCAGACGACCAGCCCCGAGAATCAGGGGGGAGGGCGTGTGAGAGGGCGAGGCTCCTGGGAGCGGGAGCAGCGGGACGGGCGCGCCGTTGAGCGAAGAGGCGTTGGTGGCTGAAGTCCTTCTGCCTTGCTTCTCTCCCCGCTTCCAAGAATGCGCACAAAGTGCCTCCTCCGTGGCTGATCGCCATGCAGCGCTACGGCCCGCCACCCTCCTATCCCAACCTCAAGATCCCGGGCCTGAATTCCCCCATCCCGGAGGTGAGTACGCTTCGTGGAGAACGGGGGGGCGGCAGAGAGCCGGGAGCACGCCACCTCGCCGCCACCGCTGCTGCTGCTGAACTGAGACTCCCCCCTGCCCCCCCTCCTCTTCCTCCTCCTCCTCTTCCTCCTCCTCCTCTCCAGGGTTGCTCATTCGGGTACCATGCTGGGGGCTGGGGAAAGCCCCCGGTGGACGAAACAGGGAAGCCGCTTTACGGAGACGTCTTCGGGACCAACGCCGCAGAGTTTCAGGTATGCCTCGGGGCCCCGCTGGCTGGCCGGCCATGAGGCCCTGGACCGCGCCTCGTGCTCCTCCGGCTTGGGAAGGACATCTGGCCATCCTCCTTTCCAGACCAAGACAGAGGAGGAGGAGATCGACCGGACGCCGTGGGGAGAGCTGGAGCCCTCGGACGAGGAATCCTCCGAGGAGGAGGAGGATGAGGACAGCGACGAAGAGAAGCCCGATGAGACGGGCTTCATCACCCCGGCAGACAGGTGGACCTGCCGGCCTCGCCTGCCTTCTCCCTGGCACGGTGGCTGGGCGCCCACTGGGGCTCGCTCCTTTGGTGGGGGGGGGGCCTTGCTGGATGCTCATGAACGTGAGGGGCAGGAGTGTGGGGTGAGGGGCACGGGAAGCACCAGGGCCCCCCCCACAAACCTCTCTGGCCCTCGGGCGTGGGCGCTCCCGTGGGTCTGGGGCGTGCGTGTTTGAGGCGGGGTGGGAGAAGGCTGGCGGCGTGCGGCGCCATTTTGACCATTGCCTCCGGTCCTTTGCCAGTGGCCTCATCACCCCGGGGGGCTTCTCTTCCGTTCCTGCTGGCATGGAAACCCCCGAACTCATTGAGCTGCGCAAGAAGAAGATCGAGGAGGCCATGGATGGGTGAGTGTTGGCCCCTTCTTGCCCTCCGTGGCTTCCCCTTCCGGAACAAACCTCCTGCGAGGAGCTGAAGTGCAGCTTTCTGGGAGCACAGCTGGCAAAACAGCCCCGCTTTCTTCTAGCACGGTCTCCCCATGGCGGCGGGGCGGGGGGGGTGTTCCTGCTCTGCACCCCTGCAGGTCAGGGAGAGACGGAAGGAGTCTTGTGGGAGACGTGCTTAGCACCACGCCAGGCTTTTCTCAGCACTGGGCACCGGAAGGTTCCCTCCGGCTCCTCTGTACCCAGCTGCCTCTCACTGCCGCCCCCCATAGCAACACGGAGCCCCCCTTCCTTCTGCCCCTTCTCCTCCACAGCAGTGAGACGCCCCAGCTCTTCACGGTCCTGCCGGAGAAGAGGACAGCGACTGTCGGCGGCGCCATGATGGGCTCGACACACATCTATGAGATGGCGACGGTATGCGCCGGTGCCCGCCTCCCGCTCCGGGTGCCCTGCTTGCTGTGGGGAGTGGTGGAGGGAAATCGGGCCTCTTGCGTTGGAGGGGTTCATCGGAACCCCTGTCCAGCTGCAGAGGCCGGCCCTGCTTCCGGCCTCCTTTGTCTTCTGCAGAAAACAGGTTGGAAGAGTGCTAGGAAGGGTATTCCTCACGCTAACGTAATTCCCCTCTCAGACAACAAAGGCTGTGCGTATATAAAGCAGGGGTGAGGAATCTCGGAAACACAAGCAGAATCTGGCCCTCGTGGAGTCCCAGGGCAGGCCTCTGGGCTCCCAGGAAGATGGCGCCCCTTTACCGAGCCCCCCCTCCGCCCTTCTGAAGACTGAGCTTCATTTATTTCATTTTACTTCTGTGCTGCCCCATTTCCTGAGGGTCCTCTGGGTGGCTTGCACACGTCCCTGAGGAGCGGATTCCCAAGTCTGGGCACCACTACGGAGAGTTCCCCCTTCCTAGCCCTTCCCCCCTGATACTCACTGGGGGGCATTTGGGGGAGGGCTTCAGAGGGAGACCCAAGTGGGCAGGTGGGCCTGTACGGAGCGGGGTTCCCTCAGGTGCCTGGGGCTTTCCCGGCAAGGCTCGGCCAGGGGCAGGAAGAGCCTTCAAGTGCAGAAGGCTGAGCGAGTTGGCCTGTGGGCCTTTGCTCGCTTGGCCGCCGGAATGCGGCTCCTGAGAGCTCCGAGGTGGGGTCTGGCCCTCCCCAGAAGCCCCTGCACACGCGTGGCGGCGTGGGCACGGTCCCGCCTGGGAGCCCCTCCTCGCGAGGGCACGGCCTCCGGGGCTGCCCCACGCCCCCGTGCATCGGGGTGGGGCAGGCGTGGCTCCCTGCGCCCCGGGCTCCCCGCCGCGTGGGCCTCCGTCCCCCCCCGCCTGCCCTGACCCAACCGGGCGCCACTCGCTGGCAGGTGATGAGCCGCAAGGGGCCGGTGCCGGAGCTGCAGGGCGTGGAGGTGGCGCTGGCCCCCGAGGAGCTGGAGCTGGACCCCATGGCCATGACGCAGAAGTACGAGGAGCACGTGCGCGAGCAGCAGGCCCAGGTGGAGAAGGAGGACTTCAGCGACATGGTGGCCGAGCACGCGGCCAAGCAGAAGGTGAGGGCCCGCCGGGCTCTGCCCTTGGCCAGCAGCAGGGAATCGGGAGGGGTGCCGCGGGACCCGGGCAAAAGCCCAGCTTCTGTGGGAGAAGTGGCGGGTGCGCGGTTTCGGTGGTGGGCATCCCGGCGGCAGGGAAAGCGCCGGCTCCTCGGAAGGCCGCGGGGCAGCGGGAAGACGCGTGCCGAAGGAGCTCAGTGGGAGGGCAGCCAGCAGAGCAGGGGAGACGGAAGGCCTCCGAAATCGGCAGTAAGAGTCGAAGGACGACAAGGCTGAGGGCCCAAGGGTGCTGCGAAAAACTGAGCCTGGAGCAGTCGCTTACGTCAGTAGCCCCTGGATACACTGGTGGGCTGAAGGAAAGGGGGCTGGGGGGGACACGACGCCTCTGCCACGGCTGTGAGCACCTCCTCTTTGCGCCCCCAGCAAAAGAAGCGGAAAGCGCAGCCGCAGGACACGAGGGCTGGTGCCAAGAAGTACAAGGAGTTCAAATTCTAGCCTGCTTCCGAACGGTACATCCGATCCAGTTCGTGCTTTTAAACAAAAAAAATTACCCCCTTCTTTCTCCTGTCCCAGCCTGAAATCCCCCCTCTGCCAGGATGCCCTGGCTCCCGTGATGTCCTCATTCTGGGCTTGAGATGTGGATTATTTTGTAAATAAAGTTGGAGTTGTTCTCTGGAGATGTTCTTTTCCGAGCTGGACAGCACTCTGATTGAGGAGAGGGGAGAGCCGGGGTGGGGGTTTCCTTGTGGGGAGCCGGTTTCCGCTGCACCTCAGGGCTGCGGCTTTGCTCCTTGGAGTGCGATCACACGCCCCCAAAGAATTCACTGTCCCCAAAGCCCCCTTTCTTAGCTCCAGATCCCACCAAGCCCACATGGCCACCACCTCATCCTGACCAACCTGGGTTCCAAATATTAAGCCAGGTCCCCCATTAAAACAAGACGAAGCTGCTTTTCTAGTAACTGCCATGGAGGGATCTTGAAGTAGGTGGGCCCCCTTTATCTGTTTCCTTGTCTTCTGCGTTGCGGGGTTTCTGCCTCGTTCTCTTATTTCAAACTACACCTGTACTTTCCTGCCGGCTGCCCCTTCCTTTCCTGGACTCGAAGGCCTGGGTGGGTTTTGCAGAATGTGACCCCTACCCCTTCCTCCTGAGACAGTAGCGAAGTCTTGGTCTTACGGGATTCTGTTTGGGTGAACACGTGTTCTCAAGATCCTTGTGCCCTTGCCCATACTCCCCCCCCCCCAAAAAAAACCCTTAACTTTTTCTTTTTGCAGGTTTTTGTGTCTCTAGCTGATGTTTTTCTTCACTTCCTTTGTGTGTATACACGAAGACAGCCACTCAAGCAAACATTTAAGGCAGATTTCTTGAGTTCATATTATATTTATTAAAAGCATTTAGTAAGAGATGTTCTGATTCCAGATGCTGGGAAAGCCCTTGTCTTTTCTTCGCTGTGCTTTCCAATTCCACTCAAGCCCAACTCACTGGATGTCTCTGTCTGCAAACAGCAAACAAACGGCAGAGAAGCCCTTTTCTCCCTTCCACTGAGACTCTGAACATACGCTGAGTTGCCCGGCTCACGTTCTGAAATGCTTAAGGGGTCGTTCAGAGAACGGAGGGAGAATTGCAGTGTGTTTCATCCTGTGCAGTACCGAGCAAGTCCACCTAGTTAGGTTCGGTTTTCTGCGAGCACTAAAAAAATATTAAATATGGCATCTTTTATATTTTATAGTTTTATTTATTTTATTTTATGTTAATTTTAATTTTATGTTGTTATTTTTGTATTTTATTGTATTTTATTGTGTTTGTAAGCTGCCCCGAGGCTTTGGCAAGGGGCGGCATAGAAATGTTCTAATAATGATGATGAAGATGATGATGATGATGATGCAAACATGGCTGTGAAAAGATTACAGCCATTTAGTGACTGGAAGGGGGGATGGCTCGCCTTCGACCACCAGGGGGCAGCACATCCACACCGCAAATTTGCTGTTTTAAAAAACCCGAAGGGGAGCCGGCTGCCGCTCCCTGGTGATGCATGTTTCAGGCATGTCGGAAGCCGCCTGCCTCTGCTGCCTTGCAGTGGTCATAGCGCAGCGGCTGAGCCCAGGAAAACCCATGCTCTGCGCAGCATCTCCCATCCGGGAGCCTGCAAAATTGTCCTTTGCCAAGTCAAACCGACCATTCATCCGGCTCATGCTTCTTGCATGTGGGAGCAGCAGCTGGTGCAAGCGTCGCCAGCAAAGAGGCCTTTCCACTGCTCTGCTTTTACTGGGAATGCTGGGAAGCTGTTCTGGGTTCTGCCTGCCTTAGGAAAGGCTGAACCGGGGGAGTCGTATAGCAAGCGGCCTGCATCTCTCGTGCATCCAAGTGCCCGGCTTCGCATTGCGTGAAACCGCAGTGATGGAATGAAGTGGCACATGCCCCCTTTCCCAAGGACACTCAAGTTCGGGAGCTAGAAAAGCTCTCGGGATGTGTCACCGATAACCCTGCCTTGAGCACTCCATTACGCAGGATTCTAAAAAAAAATCGGGTTTGGCTTCGAAACGAACACACAAAAAACCAAGTTAATGAGGGCGCCTTCCCATCGGGAATCGGCGCTTTAGAAATGAGTGGCCCCGTCTCCATAGAAAGGACGTTTCTCTGCTCTGCGGAGGCAAACAGAGTCATCTCTTCTTTCAAGAAAGCTAAGGCAGCCTCTTCCAACCTGGTGTCTGCACAGATGTGTGAAACTACAACATCCAGTATTGTGGGGATGATGGGAGTTGCATCCCGACCCATTTAGAAGGTATGAGCTTGAGGAAGGCTAAATATTAAGGCACAATTCGACAATTTGCAGGTACGGCGACCGGGATGTGAGCTTGCATCAAAACTGAGGCACAGATCATTGTCTGTGTTCCGTCCAGGTGGCTAAAAAGCCCAAGAATATCTGCCCTTGGTTCTTCATTTAGCATTTTTCGCGGTGACGGAGACCAAGGCTGTTTACTCCAGAGCTGCACAAGCGAACCACATCCCGGCCTAGCGCCTGTGACTTTCACAGCCCCGCTCTGCTGTGGGTCCTGTGGTCTGCAATGTTGAAAGGGCTTTTCTGAAACTTGACAACAGTCCTGCAGAGTAGGCCTTTTGTATTCTCATCCTGGTATCCTAAGTGACTTGTGAGAAGAGGAGTAAACTTCACGTGGAATTTAAGTCGGGGGCAAAAGCAGAAACTTGAAACGCAGCAGCTTTCCTCCAAGCTTGTGCGAGATTTCCTCTCCTGGGAAGGCCTCTAAAGATATCAATATATTTATATAACATTATACTGACCATATGAGGATTGCTATAGCGTATTGATATGATATTAGGATTAATGCACATCTAGAATCCGAACCCTGGCTGGAAAGGCACGGTGCAAACGTCGCGGGCACGCAGCTGTGGGACGTGCTTCCCGGCTGCAGGATCCGTGCCACCCTGCTGGATTTCGATCCCACGGTGGCAGCTGTTTGAGGTCCGCCCTCCTCCCTCCCCGCTTCCCATCAGCGGCCAAATTGTCCCAGGCTGCTTCTCAGGCCGACATCTGTCTGTCCCCCTGCCCGCCCACTGCCCCCCCCCCGGGACCTCGCCACAATCCTCGCTTTGTGGGGAGCTGCCCTTGGTGTTGGTAGGAAAGAGAATGGGGTGGAGGGGGGAGTCTGTAGCGCTAAAATGCCTGCCATTGTTTCTTGCAGTTAAGCCCGCCCCTTCCCCACATTGTTCAGGGTGTCCAGTCTCTGGAACAAAGCCAGGCCTGAAATGGGGGGAAAAGAAGGTGTTTTGCTTCAGACTTTCTGACCCACGTAAAAGACGCACTGTAGCAAACCAGGAGTAGAATCCAGTGGTTGATCGCTTGCATTTACTCCATGTTTTTTTTTTTTTAAGGGGTTGGGTTTTTTCAAGGGCAGAACGCAGACGCGTATGGTTGCTTGTAAGAGGGACACCTGCTGGAATTAATTCCCTAAAATATTTGCTGGCGGAAAAAGGGGGGGGGTGAGGTTGCTAAGGGCTTTGGACAACTGCTGTGAAGTTTCAAAGAACAAACTCACAGAAATGCTATCGCTGCCGAAGCTTTTTTTTTAACACGCCACTAGAACTTTATGCCGCATTATTTATCTATGCTGTGTAAGTTGAATTTCAGTCACACTGTCCTCCATTAAGTGATTCAGATTACATTCAAAGATGTAACAGTTTACAAAAACCTTCTGGAGAGAAAGCTTCCAGCAGACACGGTCCTGGCTGGGTTCCTAGCCACCTATGGTGAGCAGAAATGACATCCAGGAAGAGAGCTTGGATAAATTACATTGCCCAGAGGAAATCCTTTTATTGCAAGCAAACCCATAAAGTCATCTTGTAACTAGATAAGCAATTACCTATTTATGTATCGTTAAAAGATTAAATTGTTTCCAGCGGTATTTTGCATGCAAAGGTTGCTACATAATACATTAGAACTGGGATCGGCTTTGCAATTGGCCTTTCATGACTCGGGCCTTAAATCCCAAATCTGAAGGTCTGAGAACCATTTCCAATGAGAGGAGAATTTGAGAGGGCCGCTGGAGCAGCTGCGGGAGAGGGAAAGGTGAGAGATGAGCTGTCCATGCCACCTAAATGAGAGCCAGTGCGGCGGCGTCGTGAAGAGCGTGGGACTGGGACTCGGGTGATCCGGGTGCGAGTCCCCGCTCGGCCATGGAGCCCACTGGGTGACTCTGGGCCAGTCGCAGGCTCTCAGCCCAGCCTGCCTCACAGGGTTGTTGTGGGGAGAAGATTGAGAGCAGCAGGAGGAGAATGAGGTAAGCCACTCGAGTTTGCTGTAAGAAAAAAGGATGGGATATAAATCAAATTGTTTCATGCTGTTTTGAAATCTATATTGTATTTTAAATCTTTGTACTGTGCCTCAATTTTACTCCAGTTTTCCAGTTCACTTTTATACTGTTTTAGCAATTTAATTTGTTATCCTGTATATTTTAAACAGTTGTGAACCACCCAGAGAGCTCTGGCTAAGTGGGTGGTGTAGAAATGGAATAAACGTGGGATTTCGAGCTGCACAGGATTCCGGAAGAGAGCATTTGTCATGCGTACATTGGCTTGCAATCCGGAAATTGGGCCTCAGAATGTGTGAATACGAGAATGGCGCCAGTGCCCAGTGAATTGGGCCCCCTTCCTTCGTAAATCGACCGTCTCTGTGCTTGCCCCATTCCTCCTCTTCATCCCTTGCTCGTTTGGCAAGCAGAAAGGTGGCAGGGCATCCGTCGCTCTGCTTTGCCAGCACTGTGGCGACAAGCAGGTTGCAGTGGGGGAGCGAGGAAGCCGCTCCGGGGGCCAGCACTTGCGAGGCCCTGCTGGGGTTGGGGCCCCGAGGGAGGGCCTGGAACTCCGATCAGCACTGGCCCATCCCGTCACATAAGACTCGGCTGGGCTTGTGCAAACTAAGCTCTTTGCTTTTGTTTATCCAAGGCAGCGCCAGCTCCAGGTTTTGGAAGGTGCGGACAAGGCTCCCCTCTGGATGAGTCTTAGCCCCTTTGGGGGATCAGAGGTTTACACGAACCTGCCTGTTAGCAGCGCGGAAGCCAAGCGCATAATGGACCTCTGGGCGCTGAGGAAAACCAGATCCACTGCCAGAGCCAGAAGGGACTAAGAGGAGCTGGCTGGCAGGAGCTTCAGGGCTGAGCAGGG